CATTAAAATGACTTTAAACCAAACATCAACAGTTATAAAAGACCAGCTAAATGCTACAATATCAATGAATCATGCTATATGGCCTATTTTATTTTATATTTGTTCTGAAGAAACTTTTCTTACAACCTGAGCTGAATGTGCTGTAAACAAGGTGCAAAGAGTGATTTTCTATGGATATTGTATAGTGCCTTTCCATTCTATTAGAGCACTCAAAATGATCATAAATTGCTCCAACATGAAGTGTCTTAGTCAAGTGCTGAGCTGCCTCTAGACTACCCACTAGACCCCTCTCTTGAGTTTGAGTTGAAATGTATCAGCTTGAGATAGACACGATAATTAGGAATAACTTGTATTGATTTTAAGTGACTTTAAAAAGGGGGGCAAAATTACCCATAACAGAGTCACCGGCTCTGTATATACTTCAGTGCAAAATCTTACTAAGTAATACACTGTTTTATAAATGACAAATAAAAATGACATGTGTTTTTTTTATTGTTTACTATCAGTTAAAAGATAATATAATAATAATAATAATAATAATAATAATAATAATAATAATAATAATAATAATAATAATAATATAATAATAATATCTGCTAATCAGTTAATAATTGGTTTGTAAACCATCTATGAACATTGGATTTATGGCATTTGTAAAATTGTAACTAACGTTGCAAAACTTAAAATAGTAAGAAATGCTCTTTAGTAGCTCTGTGAATGATGTTTGGTTATTTAAAGTTGAAACTGGTGTTTTTTCAATACTTGAATTAAAGAGAAAGAGTAAAACAGTGGAAAAAGTAAAAAAAGTAAACTCAGTTAAAACCTTAACTGGTTAGTTAAGACTGAGTAAACTCAGTTTACTCTTTTACCCTCAAGTCTTTTTAATTGTATTTTTATTTGCATCATTTTGCGACTGAATCACATGGCTGCATAACAGTGAGAACCCTTAATGAGACATTTATAGCTCTAATACTTTATTTAGCTCATAACATTTTTTTATCATTTGCTACAAAATATCACAGTAATTGGTGTTTGACAGCTGAAATAGCAGCCCACAGTGTGTGTGTGTGTGTGTGTGTGTGTGTGTGTGTGAGAGAGAGAGAGAGAGAGAGAGAGAGAGACTGAGGGGGAAGTGGGACAGCATGGTAAATCACTGCTCACATGATCTCCAGCTGGGGGATCAGACAGGAGGCATGTGCTCAACATCTCCTCGTACTCTGACTCACACACAAGCTTGTGCGCATTTGCGCACGTCTCTCTCTCAATGCTCAACTCCTTCACACCTTTCTCTTCTAAAAATGATGAACATCAGCCACACAGCTCAAACATCTCCCATATGAACACATACATGAGGAAATACAAGAGAGATACTCCTGAGAGGGGTGTGACAAAACGGCTCCTAACCTTTTGTAACCCTGCTGTAAGCCTTACTATCACTGGTCATCAATATGTGCACCATGTCATGTGTATATCTTCATTAGTAAGATAGATATATAGACAGCATTGTTACAGGATACATTTATCATTTATGCAAATCAGAAGTGTGAAAACAAAAAGACTGGGGGAGGGGGGTGAAAGAGAGGCTGTGAAAGTGAAAAATACTGAATGAAATGTGTGTGCATGATGTACAGCAGCAGTGCTTAAACCACCATGCAACTGTTTCACTCGTTGCTTTGTTTTTTTTATATATGAAGTGTCCTCTTTTTTCTCTCCTTACAGATTTTTAATATTGCTAAAGTAATTACTTTGATTTATATCGCCTTGTTTGTTATCATGAGCGGTACCACGGCATTGTAAACATATCCCCACAAATTTATGGTCCGTTTTTGCAAGAATCTAAAACCTGCTGATTGGGTTCATTGTAACAGCGCCCTCTAATGGCTCCAGTTATAATCAAAGGGACAGCAGTTTAATGATGCGGTTGCACAGCCATCGAGTCTGCACAGGATGGAGGTTAAGGTTGACAACAATGACACTAGACACAGAAGACTGCTGTTCTGTTTCCATTCCAAGCAGGAAGCCACTGTTCCTTTTAACAATGACTAAAAACAAGAGTCTTCTAACCAAAACCTTAAACTTTCCATAAACATAAAAAAACTAGAGGCAAAGACATTGGGAAGATTGTTCAGCTTTTTTGGTCAGTTTTCTATTTAAAAAAAAGTGAATTTAACTGACGACAAATAATATTTTTAATACACACAATGTTAAAGGTGTCTGTAGTTCCAGTTTGTTCTTCTGCCACCTGACGTGTATCCTAAAAGCTATTCCAAGCTGGAGTATCAGTCTTGTCTCATCATTCAGTGAGATCCCAGACATGGATTTCAGCTCTTAGAAATAATCCATCAGAACATTAAAACATTTCAGCAGTTCATTATTACTGCAGACATGCTTGATCACATTGCAAGACTACTGGGAGAAACAGTATTTAATCAGCATGTCAGCAGATCCAATAAACATTCTTTATATTTAATGGGAGTCTCAATTACAGGCAATAAGTTTATTATTTGTTTTTTAATTCTCTGGAGAGTTTTTAAAGTGATTAAGCAAATGCAAAGGCACACTGGAGGGTTTGTGAAACATATAAACAACCAGCCTCTAGTTGCATGTCTTTTAAAAAAGGCAACTTTTTCCAAATGCAATGTGGGCCAATGTCTGCGAATGAATGAATGAATGAGTCTAAGAGCTGAAGTGTTAAAGCTTTAAACTTCACTTTGAATTTGATCATTTGGTCTGGTACGAATCCTGCTGATGAGTGGTTGTCATTTATTATTCAAGGAGCAGACTAAAAATATCTCACATGAGTAAAAATAACCATCCCATCCCCACAGAGCACACACACACACGCACACACACACAAACACACACACGCACATGAGCATCCATAACTTTCACAATGCATCCCCAAACCTGCCATAGGTGTGTCAAGTTACCTTCTCCCTCCACCGTGTCTGTGATTTTCATCTCCTGGCCCACGGTGAATGACTCAGGCTCCGTGGGGGTTTTGGCTTGCTGGTGATTGTGGTTGGTGAAGCCATCCGGGGCGCACTGGCCGTTCCGCACCGTTGCCGGGCAGGGATCCACAACAGTCGGGTCTGGGACGGGGTAGGACTCTTGAGTCACCTGGTCTGTCATTCTTACTGCGGTTGTTTTGCTTTCAGTCTCAGAGGAAGATGATGATGATGGAAAAAAGATTCACACCGGTTCGATAAGTGCAGCAGCCATCCAGCGCGTCCAATATGCCACCGGTGTCGACTCAGTTGCGCAGAGGGGAGAGAGAAGAGATGGCGATAAGACAAGATGGGAGATAACGGATTTATCTTCGTAGCACCAGCAGCGAAGCAACTCCCTCTGAGAGAAGTGAGCACTGTAGGATCAGTGCAAACACCCTGCTGGCTGAGCCACTTAGACACAGTTTAGGGTTAGATGCGACAAAGCGATAAATTGCAGAGATCTGCTGTGAATCAAGAAGGCGGTACCTTCAAGTTTTCCCCCTCCTCCCCTTCCTCTTTCTCTCCTCCTCCCATAATTCAGCTCTTAATTCAGAATCAGTACATCCAGTGACATCTGCCCTGAGTTAGCCAAGCATTTTTACACTTTCTCTTTGAGTTTGCTGTGATTTATACGCACAGGAGACCTGTAGCCCAAAGCCCAAACCTTTACACAGGCATTCAATAAGCTACCGAGCAACTTAACATTACCCTGCTGCCACAGATGGCCTTAATGCACGTTAGTAAATTGTATTTAACCATTGTGTTTTCTACTTATATTTGTGCCAGTATGTTTATGTTATTAAAGGTTTTTGCATCATCTGAGGGATTATTGCCCTAAATTCGATATGCTTGCATATTGACAATAACCAGTTTTGGATCTTGAACCCTGGCAGGTTGACCAACCTTAATCAGCCACCAGGTGGCATCCTCGAGCAGCGATATGGGCAAGCAATTAAATAAAGTTGGCTAATGAAGGTCGTTTCAGTACATTTCAAACTGTGCAGGCTAGCCACAGAAATAAGCTGCAGCCATGATGTGAAACCAAAATAATCAATTAAAGCCATGAGTGCAGAATTCAGGCTCAGTGTAACGAAGGCAGACAGTTAAAGGAGCAGGTTTACAGCCTCTGCTCTGGGTTTCTGTTTGTTTCAAAGATTGGGCAATAAATGTCCCAGCAGCAGACATTCACCTGTCGGTCATTGGTTTCAGGCTGAGGGTGGGGAGTGAATGTGCCCACAGTTTTTCCCAGGATACCTCGGCCAGCAGACCTTTACGTTTTCCGTGAATAATAATCATAAGGATGAAGGTTGATATTCACAATCATATTTTACCAAAGGAGTGGCCCGACCTGAAGCAGGTAGGAACTGTCACAGACAAGATGATTTGACTTTTAATGTCACGGAGCTCGAGTGTTAAATAAACCCACAGTCTGTAGATGAGATCTCACCTGAAGTGGGTCAGTGGGTTTGAGAAAAACATCTTTGTGTCACTTCCCTGGCAGATGGAGCTTGAACTGGGGCTATTAAATGCTACTAACGTTAAATATATAGACTTTTCAGCTGGCTTGTCAGCAGGGAGATTAAAAGTCCACTGCATAAATCTGTCCTCTATGGATGGTTAAACTTTAATCAATAGACCTTGGACTTGGTTTATCTGTTCCTGCCCTTATGTCTTTGTCACTGCCTGGCTAATCATTTCCCACATTTAAAGCTGAACAGAAGACATGAGCTAAAGCCTGAGTCTTCCCGCAAGATCTCCTACATAAAAAACAAAACTTAATACAAGGCAAATCATTAAATCATGTGGCATTCTCTACACCATATGTTTTATTGCAAATATGTCTTCCTCTATGAAACATCATGTCTATAAGATGCTGCTATATGCTGAGTGACTGCTGCTTGTCAACCACATTTCATTGCAATGTTGACCCTGTGCTAACTTGCATATGACAAATAAAACTGAAAACTGAAGAATCTTTTGCAAAGAATCTGATATTTAAAAATTTACGTTGGCTGGAGTTGGTTAAAGGGCCCTAAGCACAACATTATTTGAACTTGAGATCAAGTCCACAGTTAAACTGGCATGATGACATTTTATTTAAAGCAACCTTTCACTGAAACAGCTTCTTGAGGCCACAGATCCACACATCAAACACGGGTGTAAAACCCATCTTGCAACTGGAAAAACAGAAGCTCCTCAGTGGCATTATCCAAGTACACAGTACAGCTGATCTGCATGGATATGAAAAGGGGCTTTTCTGCTGTATTGCTCACGTAGCTCATCTGCAGCTTCATTTGTATGCAAAAAGTGTCAGCATGCTCAAAAGGCAATATCTTTTAGGCATTCAGAGCACTGGAGTGGCCAGTCCTGTAGGATGATGACCAAACCCTCACAGATGTGATAACAAAATCAACATTTTCTATCAGAATAAAACAACAAATATGCAATCAAATATATGGCTGATATTTATATGTGATGTTTTTAAACTCTGGGTTTGTAAAACCTGTATTTTTTATGTGTTTCAGAGGTACGGCTATGATGGGTTTGTCCAGCTTCACCATCACTGCGAGGTAAGTCACTATTTCCTCTGCTTTCCTATGCAGCTACAGACAGGGTGCAGGTGCAGGAGCACTTATGCACTGCACTACTTTGTTGAACACACAGCAGATTCATCCCAGCTGGCGACTGCACCCACCCCGCAGACCTGCCAGGCTGGTCCTGGCTATGTGAGCAGCTGCAGAACCCAGCGAGGTGATACAGCATCAGTCAAGTGATTCGGTTCAAACAGCCGTAACGCAGCCCGATACAGAGCAGCTTGGCAACTTTTAGCCCCAAACATGGGCGGAGCATTTTAGTAACAGCAAAGTATACTTGACAATGAACAGTCCATTCTTCAGAATTAATGCCTAAACTTGGATAAGCAATGAACTTGTGCTTGTGTGTTTCGTACTAAACATCTTAGAGGAGTCCAGGCCTCTAAGAGTCACCCAGAACATTTGCAGTAATATCAACTGTCTGCTGCCATCATGTGGCTCAGTTTTGTTAGCAAATGTAAAAGTTACAACATGTGCTTTAAAACCTAACCTAACACAAACCTAATTTCAAAAACGCTGGGCCACAGCATGAAATGTATATAAAAAACAGAACGCAGTGATTTGAAAATCTCATAAACCCATATTTGATTTACAGCAGAGCATAGAAAACATATCAACTGCTTAAACTAGGAACACATGCCATTCATTTTGAATTTGATGGCAGCAACACATCTCAAAAATGTTAAGAAAGGGGAGATGGGGCCATCTTCTCCACTGTGAAGCGTCCCGTCTTTATTTGGTCCGTAAATGTCTGGGAGCCGCTGGACTTTTGGAAGAGGAGTGTTGTCCCATTCTTGTCTGGTGGAGGATTCTAGCTGGGTCTTCTTTTTAGATTTTGATTTCATGTGCAAAATATTTTCAGCTGGTGAAGGTCTGGACTACAGGTAGGGCAGTTCAGGACTCTTCTACTACAAAGCCATGCTGTTGGAATAGACACAGTATGCAGTTTGGCGTTGTCATGCTGACATATGCAGCAACTTCCCAGATTAAAGACGTCATATCAATAGGAGGATATATATGTTCACCTAAAACCTGTATATAGCTTTCAGTATTGATGGTATCTTTCCAGATGTGTAAGCTGCCACTGCCACAGGAACTAATGCACCCCCGTACCATCAGAGATGCAGGTGCTTTAAGTGGGTGTTGAAAACCAACTGGATGGTCCCTCTCCTTATTAGTCCAGAGGAGGAAAAGGCCATTTTTTCCGAAAGGAATTTGAAATTTAAACTAATCCAACCGCAGAACAGTTTTCCATATTGCCTCAGTCTATATTAAATGAATGAGGACAAGACCTTTTTGGCTGATGTTCACATATGGCTTCTTCTTTGTATCATAGAGCTTCAACTTGCATTTGTGGATGACACAGTGGCTAGAAGTGTTCCTAAGCCCAAATCACATGCATTGATTTCCATGACAGAATCGCCCCTGTTTTTAATGCAGTGCCGCCCGAGGGTCCGAACATCAGTGACATTAGCACTGATTTTTTAGTTTTGTCCAGATTCTCTGAATCCTGCTGATATTTTGCACTAAAGATGATTAAATATTAAAGTCGTTGGAATTTATTGTTGAGGAACATTATCCTACTTGTAGACTTCTGAGAAAGTCTTCCTGTCTAAGATGCACATATTTTATGTGATTATGTTTCTGGGATCATTGCAGTCTGTTATTTGCAAGTCTCACAGCATCCCAGCTTTTCAAAAGTAAGGTTGTAACTGACCAATAACACAAAGAAAATCTGTCCAAAGACAATCCAAAGATATTAAAAGAAACTAGAGCTGATAGTGGTCTTAATGTTGTGTTTTAGGGTGAAGCAAAGATGATAAAGGATGGGAAGGTTTTCCGGGTAATACAGGAAAACGGCTGGGATCCAAATGCTCGCATAAAGGACATGGATAAACACGGTACATGCACAGACACAAATGACACAAAGTTTGGTAGTTTCATCCTTTAATCAGTGACTAAAAGCAGCATTTCTTTTCACGGCCTGCAGGTGTCACACTGCAGGCCCTTTCAACCGTTCCTGTGATGTTCAGTTATTGGGTAAATGCACAGCCAGTCACTGCAGATTTGGTCAAAAGCTGTGTGACAAAGTGGTGTCTACTGTGTGTCAGATAACTGAGTTGTGCCTACCACTAAACTTTGCAATACTACAAACTGCTTAATGATCTTCTTCAATCGAGAAGTCTTCACAGATATATTTGTGTATATTCATCGTGTGTTTTGATTGCAGGCTAAGCCTCACGACACACTCGATCTCTGTGTCCTTTTGAATGACGACTTGGCTAAGACAGTGCGTAGCCACCCCAAGAGGTTTGTGGGCCTGGGCACACTGCCCATGCAGGCCCCTGATTTAGCTGTGATGGAGATGAGGCGCTGTGTGAAGGAGCTAGGCTTCCCTGGGGTCCAGATTGGGTCACATATCAACAACTGGGACCTCAATGCCTCTGAACTCTATCCCTTCTATGCTGTAAGACTTTACACACTTGCATGATAACATGGGGTTATTGTGATAGTGTTTTTTAATTATGCCTACATTGGTTCCAATAATTTTTCTTTATAATTATGGCCTAATTTCTTACTCATTTCTTATTCTGATAAACACTACAGGAAGCAGAGGAGCTGGGCTGTTCCATATTTGTCCACCCATGGGACATGCAGACAGATGGGAGGATGGCAAAGTATTGGCTACCCTGGCTAGTGGGTGAGGAGGATACTGGAGTGGGAACAGGACATACTGACTATTACATCTGGTCTCGCCAACTAAAAACAACACTAATATTAAAACAAGCCAGCTTTTATGTGCTATTTAGTGCATTGTGATGGAAAAATATTAATGTTTATATGTTTTTAAATGTTTTTCTTTCCTTAGGTATGCCATCTGAGACAACCGT